CGGTGACCCTTCTTCAGAACCGAGAGGAAGGGTCACCGGACCCGAAACGTTAACTCTGTTTTTTCCCTCCACAGATGCTGCCAGACCTGCTGAGCTTTTCCAGCAACTTTGTTTTTGTTCCTAGAAATGACAATTATTAGGGGACATAAGTTTAAGTAAAAGGGAATGTTTAAAGGAAATGAGAGGCAGGTTTTTTACACAGAGTGGTAAGTGCCAGGAATGTAGTGCCAGAGAAGGTGGTGAAAGTGGGTTATCATAGCAATGTTAGGAGGCATCTTGACATATACACAAATAGGTAGGTAATCTGGCGATATGGACTGTGTAGAGGCCAGGGATTTTAGTATAGATGGACATCATGTTGGCACAAGCTTGGTGGACTGAAGACCTTATTTCTATGTTGTACTGTTCTTTGTTCTTTATCATGCAGTTTTAACTAATCCAAGATACCTCTTTCATAAAGTCCTATATCGTCAACTTTGACCTTAGAATGGACTGGACCTTTCTATCTTCAATCATATTGTGTTCAAGATCCTTATTCTCACTTTTAAATCCTGCCTCAGGTTCAATTTGCCAATATCTGTCCCAGTTGTATATCCCACCTTACTCTATTCATTCTCCCATCACCACTCCCCTGCCCTTTATCGCATTTTTGTTTCATTTGTTGTTATTTCATGTTCTTTCTGTCCTCTCTGTTAACAGCATTAATATGACTTGTTCAGATTCAGCAGATAGCTTCTGGCAACTGTATTTGGCACTGATTTACTGTATTTAATATTTGTTATATGACCAAATATTCAAGCAATTTGTCTCCTCTGTCCACTAGATAGTAATCAACTGATCTGAAGCTGGCTAGCTAGAGGGGAGCCTAATTCTTTGGAAAGGCAGTCAGAGAGAAACCAATGACACCGAGAGCCCTGAGCCATTGTCGCATGTCTCCTGATCTTGGGTTCTTGGAATAAATCAGTGACCTGTCATCACCGTAATAGCATGCGGTCACAGGAAATAGCTGCCCAAAAATTGAAACAATTTGCTTTTTAAATAAAAGCCTCACCGTCTGCAACCCTATCTGTAAAAGGAAATTAAATCATGAGCCTTTTATTTTATGGTTCAGTACATGTACATCTGTGCATGCAGCTGGCAAGCTATTCCTTCTGAGTGAGTTGCCCTCTGGACAATTCAGTTTTGCCTGCTTTCTACTCCCAGCACTCTTCAGTCCAGTATGCAACCTAACTGTCTTAATTGATGAGTTTTTTTCTATAGTGGAATGGCTTCTTTCTTCACCTTTCTGTCTTTAATTTTTTTTGCCAGCGAGACAGAGAAATAATATATTAAAATGGAAATAAGTGTTTCAAATGAGGAACTTAATGTAATATTATCTAAATAAAAGCTGTTAATATTTGAAACTTTAGAATTTTACAATGTAGAGATAAATTATTCAGTCCATCCAGTTAGTCAATGTGCTTTATTTTACATGAGCTACAATTTTAATGCCACTCCACTTTCTGTTTGTGCAATAATGTGAGATCTAATCTCTTGAGTGAACGACATCAGGATTTATTAAAAACTACTATGCGCAAAGGATGCTAAGAGAGGGACATTGTATCTGGCGCCCTACAGAACTCTGCATTCTGACCTCATTATGATATGGCTCCTTTTGCACATGGTCAGTAGCTATACTTGGAGGAAAGAGTGTACAGGAAATTCTATATGATGTGGAGGTGCTGGTGTTGGACTGGAATGGACAAAATCAGAAGTTACACGACACCAAGTTACAGTCCAACAGGTTTATTTGAAAACACAAGCTTTCTGAGCACTGCTCCTTTATCCCACCTGACAAAGGAGCAGTGCTGTAAAAGCTTGTGATTTCAAATAAACCTGTTGGACTGTAACCTGGTGTCGTGTGACTTCTGACTTTTTCCCTTTACGCTACAGTCAGGTATTCCTCTTTCCAGGTAAATCTGACCCACTTTGAAAGCACTCTAGCACATTTTAACCAGAGATGATATATTCTCTGCACTTACACGTATGACTAATCACCTGCCTGTATTGAAGTCCACATGCCAGTCTTGAGCCCATCTCCCCAATATATCTCTATTTGTCCATGGTCTATCACACTCATCTCAACTCCTGATGAGCAATTGACCATAGGACCATTATCATTGACTTGAAAATGGCCATACCATCTGGTGTCATCTATAATCTTGATTATTGTGTCTCTGGCACCTCTCCCATCAGTAATGAGCAAGGACAGTTAGGGACAGGTGATAAAAAATATTGACTTTACTATTCACAGTCAAATGCCAAGAATTAATTTAAAAACAAGAAAGAAGGTAGAAATCTAACACTGAATCTGAAGAAGCCCTTTAGTGAACAAGACCGACTGGAAGGCAATCCCATTTAAATCTCCATTTGTATACATTTGCGTCGCCAATTTGTCAACCATATTCCAATTTCATTTCGCACAATGAGATCGATGTTTTTTTTTTGGCAATCTCTCATGCCAAAATACATCAAAAGCCTTTAGTTGATAAAGTTTACTAAGTCTCCTTGATTATGCATTCAGAAGCTTCCGGATCCAATGGACATGATCGGTTTGGGTTGAATATTCCCTGTAATCTTGATATATTCTATATGCTCAATTGTAGCACTCTGTTTGGTGTTTGACATTGATCTATTGTTTTTGGATAAAAGAAGGAAAAAGAATAGGGAATATGCATGTGGACTAGGACGAGACAAAACAGATTGTAAATGCTTCAATAGGTATGTATTAAATGAAGAAATTATGCAAGCAAATATGCTTCCTTCAGAGACAGAGAACTGAATCTTGCATTGCAGCTGGAGTCCATTGAACTTCAAAGTCAGGGCTGGGCCCATTTCTGCTTGGCTAATTGCAACCATTTAATGGCTGTTAATTGATTTAGGCAAAATTTTCTCCCTACTGAGGAGAAGGTTCCACTTCTTAGAGCTGCTGTCAAATGACCAGCAGCACCACCAGGTTAAATAGCCTGTTCGCCTGACATTAGCCATAGTGAAAATGCAGGGACTTATTATTAAGAAGGTGGTAACAGGATTCGTAGAAAGTCATAATATGACTAAGAAGAGTCAGTACAGATTCAGAAAAGGAGGTTATGTTTGGCTATCTCCTTAAGTATTTTTGAAGATGTATCCAGTAGGTTGGATGGGGGAAACCAGTGGAGGTAGATTTGGATTTTCAAAAAACATTTGAAAAGGAGCCACGTGAAAATGTTAAACAAAATGAGGACTCATGAAATTGAAGGTAATTTGAGGGCGTGACTGAGCATTGATTTAAAGGACAGAAAACAGACAGATTAAGAATAAACAGGTCATTTTCGGTAGGCTGTAGTCGGTATGCTACAAGGATCAATGCTTGTGCCTCAGCCATTTTCCACATATCAATTATTTAGATGAGGGCACCAAGCGTGATGCATCGGAGTTTCCCGGTAATATAAAGCTAGGTGGAAAAGTAAGCTGTGAGGAGGATACAAAAGGCTGGAACACAGTATAGATATGTTAAGTAAGTGTGAGAGAGCATGTTAAATACAGTGTACTGTGAGGAATTGTAACATTGTCCACTTTGAACAGGCAAATTCAAATGCAGAATATTTTTCAAATGGTGAGAGGAACGTTAAATGTTCACAGGAATCTGGGTACACAAATCGCAAAGTTGTTTTGGAGCTACAGCATACAATTAAGAAGGAAAATTATACGTCGTCCTTTATAACAAATAAATCTTACCTCAATAATATTGAGCCTTGGTGAGATCACGCCTAGACTACAATGTACAAGTTGTATCTGCTTCCCAAAGAAAGTACAACAAAGATCCGTTGAATTGGTTCCTAAGGTAATGGAATTGTCCTATGAGGGAAGATTGAGTAGTAAGATTAAGTGTAGATTAATAAAACTGCCATCTGGCAAGTTAATGACAGTGGAATCCCTGCATTAAGGTGTAGTTTGACACTGTAAAAGAAGAACTGTAATTTTACTGTAAATACCTTTTTGTTAACTTTTATGATGCTCAATATCCTGAAGTATACTGCCTGATAAATTGAGATCTAACCCCTGTAGAATAGCAAGTCTGTTTGTGTCTCACATTTTCCATTTTTTGTTCCCTTGTCTTTATCAGTGATTTGCTATCAGCGCATTACATTGAAAGGCATTTCAAGGATGAAGGAAAGACTACACAGACTTTGGTAAGACAAAGATATTATTGGCTTATATTTTATAAGAGGAATATAACAATGATAAACTAATATTGACAATATAAATACAAAATAGTGTGTGAACAGTTCAGAATAGAAAGAAATGGGTAAGAACAGCAGGTAACATGAGACCTGAACCTTCTGCAGCAACTACAAAAAGTTTCTGAGACGTTGAGGCGGAAAACCCCAAGTGATGCCCAGAAAGGTGCCTCCAAAAACTGCAATTAGTTTTATCTGACAGCAGCTGAGTGCCCCTCAACTTCAACAACCTACTCTGATTTGTACGGACCATGGTTGTTAGCAGGAGCTGTTAAACATCTGCCCGATAGAGATGAAGATGGCATGAGGTCTAAGTAATATTTATATGTAAATTTATGGTGGGAGCTTTGCTTGCTTCATTAAACAGATGGGAGTTTCTTTTTCCCTTGAGATACAAAAAGACCTGGAGGTGACATGACAGAGGCCTTTAAAATTGTGTTTGAGCTGGACAAGATCGCTATCTAGAGACACAGCAGGTCTGGTAGTATCTGTGGAGAGCGTTTCAGTACTGTATATTCAAGATTCTGGTTATTTCTGCTGTAACCTCAGGGAGCACTTTGTCTGTGTAGATACAGTCCGTGTCTGCGATGTCACTGCCAGAAACATCCTGTGTATATGTTCGTATTACAGACAGCCAAAGATTGAAAAGGGAAATAAAAGATGATAGCTCAACAATGTTCTGGATCTCTCCTCACGCTCCACCCAACCGCTGATAGTTTCCCATGCTGGTCCCTTGCCACTCCTTCCACTGCTCCCTTGCATCAACCTTCACCCTGTTCAGACCATTTGCTGCTTTTGAACCACTGCATTATACCTTTCTGCATCCCATCCACTCCAATGCCTTGCTGCTTCATTCATGGCTCCCTTGCATTTTTCCACAGCCCCTTGCTGCTCCCTTTGCCATTGGCTCATCCCCTCCCCATCTCCTATCCACCAACTCCCTCCAATGCTGTTCATCTCCTGCTTCCTGAACAGTCCTCCACCACTTCCTCCCACCCACTCGCACTCCTTGCCATAGACTCTATTGCGGTGAGGGGCCTTGGGAAGAAATGTGTCATCAGCAAAGGGAGTGGTAATGAGTGGAGGAAGGGGTGGAGGAATCAGTGAAGACACTAGTGAGGGGAAGCAAGCCCATGGTGAATGGAGCAGTGAGGGGAGTGGGACGGAGAGCACCGTTGGTGTATTGTGAGTGAGGTCCAAGGTTTTAGGAAGAGGATAGCAGGTGCTGGATGTAGATTGGGATGTCAGTGATTGGAGAAACAGCATTGGAGTGAGAACTGACTTTGTGATTTCCTGCCTGGGGTCTGGCTGCAATTACAGGAGATGTAATATAATGCTTCGGGTAGGTGTTCAGACCTTCCCAGTGCAGGTTGAAAAGGACATTAATGCTGCAGAGGTCAACATTTTCAACAACTCCTTGATTTTGATTCTACCACTGGCAAATGGGGCAAATGTCTCATTTTGAACAGAGCGGTGTATCTATTCAACCACGTGTTAGAATATTTCATTTCATCATTCAAGTTCATCTTTGGGCCTCGTATTAATTTTAAAAATGTTACTTGTAGTTCACAAAAATAGCAAACAGTCATTGAAGGAGTGTTACAATACCAAATCCGGTGTCTCCGCAAGGAACGCATTATGTAATAAGCCTAATGGCAGTTTGAATTTGCTGATCATAAAGTCTGTTGGAGCAGCAGGTTTTTGTACAAAGCTAGTGATCTGAATGAACATGACTGCAATAGAGGATTACTGAGCCAGAAGAGGTACAGTTCATCTCATTCGTGAAAGGTGAATAACTTCTGTAATGTTTTTTTCTATATTAAATGCACTAAATAATTTAAAAGTTGTTATGTAAACCCTATTTAGGAAGAATTGCTGCTGTCCACGTGCATGTTAATTTGTACTCCAACCTTTCCTCTAGTTGGTGTTTTCAATGAAATTGTCAGTAGTTTAATAGTATCAACCAGAAGGAACAAAAATAAAAGTTGCTGGAAAAGCTAGCAGGTCTGGCAGCTTGCCTGGATGAGTGCAGCTCTAACAACACTCAAGAAGTCTGACACCATCCAGGACAAAACAGGTCGTGTGATATGCATCCTGTACACCACATTCCACATTTGCTCCCTCCACCATTGACACACAGTGGCAGCAGAATGTGCTATCTACAAGATGCAATGCTGTAACTTGCTAAGAGTTCTTTGACTACATCTTCCAAACGTGCGACGTTTAACACCAGGAGGATAAGAGCCACAGACAGATACAAACAGCACCACCTTCAAGTTCCACTCCAAGTTATACCTAACCTGATTTGGAACTAAATTGCCATCGTTCGAGTCCTTCTTCCTAACAGTACCTACACTGCACAGCCTGCAGCGATTCACCACCACTTGCTCGAGAGCAATTAGGCAAGAGCAATAAATGTTGAATTAACTGGTGATCTGCACATCCCATGAAGAAAGAAAAATAGGACCATTATGCCTTCCCTCTCGGGGACATTTATGGTAAAATCCAGTATATATGTCACATTGTACTCGATGTTCAAATGATTTCAGAGCAGAGGAGAATGAATTATTCATCATTGTAGTTTACAATCAATATACAACAAACGCTGCATGTTAAATATTGCTAACTGATTACCATGCAGTTTCAATGATTCATCATTGCCAATTCTGGGCATACATTCGGGAGAGCCTTTTGTATTTATTGACAGGAAGTTAGGAGGTTCAAAGGCCACACTGTTATATATTTTTGAGATACAAGAGAATGCAGTTTTTAAAGATTTGAGTGTATATGTGGGAGAGCAGCAGGGAGGATCAGAATTGCAATTTTCCTCAGAAATTCAAACAAACCTTTGTCCAAATCAGATGTTTCTCTGGTAACCTTTGACTGTTTCTCTTGACGGAGGAAAACTGGACATTCAGATAATGATCAAAAAGAAAGCAGATTGTATAGGTACCCACTGACCAGTTCATCAGAGTTTTTTGTGGTTTTATTATTGTGGTTTTGTTATCCTCTAGATTGATTAGAACTTGAATGAAAATTGAAATAATTTGAAATCAGATATTGCAGGCAAAATTCTCTGTTTGCAGTTAGCAGCTGAGGGTGATTAAGGTACATTTGAATGAGCTGTAGCCCTTCTCCATTACTGTAATCTCCTCCAGCACGCTAAAAATCCCTGCATTTCTCAATCTTGCCTGCATGCATGCCAGACAATGGAGGAAGGGACTGGACCCTAATCTTTACACACTGAAAAGCCGTTACTTACAGGGGATAGCCTGCATTTCCACCCCAAACGACGTTTTAGTCTGTTCCTGTAAAGATCCAGCCATGGATCACTGTACATCTGTATGGGTTAGATTGCATGAGCAGACAGAGGGTATTGGTGTTTATTCTTGGTGAAAATACAACATTTTACAATGTAGTCTTGAAGGCATTTTCTACAGAATAGAGTATTATAAAGATTAAACAGCATTTATATAAAGTCTTCATAAGAGAGAAAATCAAGCTGCATATCCAGAATGAAAGTAATTAGAGGAAACCATGCTAGGGAATGTAAAATATTAACCAGTACAGATGGTAATTATGGAATATTACTTCAGTGTAATCTAGGACAGCAGGATCATAAATTAATTTAAATTTCTGAAGCTTAATTTGAAACTGATATTAAGAAAAACTGCGCTGGACAAAAATTTCACTTGCATAATTACAGTAATTACCGTCTTTGGGGAAAGGAAAAGGGCTGATTGTGAAACAGTATGAAATCTCCTTAGGATGTGAGCAGTACTATAAAAATAAAGCGTTCTCTTCCTTGATGTTTGTAATCTGATCGCTATGAGCAGTAGAGGCAAGTGATTAGATACATTCAGAGGGCAGTGTTATGGTATGACAACAGTTGGGCTATTAAAAGAGTGAGTTTTGATGACTCAAATGGGTTTTTCTCATTCTTCACTCCATTGTGTGTTGCTAATCCAGAAATGAAATTAAACCTGGTGCATAGAATCCTATCCAGATTGGAGGTTAATTGCTTCATGCTCTTTGTCAATTGAAATGAGCTGTAGATCAGATTGTGACAAACTTTTGACTTCCTGTCAGAAGCTCAAGCTTTTCAAATGTAGCATCTGTGATGTGTGTATATTCTGCTTATTTATATCTGTCTTCCCTGTGACATACATTGGAAGAAGTTTCTTTAATGAAAGTAAGATAATCAAGTGAGGGGAGGACTCCAATCACTTTGGTTTCTTACTGGCTCATCTGATCCTGAATGGTTTCCGTCCCATTCAGTCCACTCTATCTAACCACATCAATTCTAGTTCAGTAAGTGACGACTCGGTGGTATTACTGCTAGAATATTAAATCAGAAACTCGGGTAACGTTCTATGGACTTGGGTTTGAATCAAAAGAACAAGAACAAGAACAAAAGAGAAATACAGCACAGGAACAGGCCCTTTCGGCCCACCAAGCCTGTGCCAATTGCATGCCCTGACTAAACTAAAAAACAAACCTTCTGCCCTTATTTGGTTCATATCCCTCTATTCCCTCCCTATTCATGTCACCATCCAGATGCCTCTTAAACATCACCAACGTGCCTGTTTCCACCACCACCTCTGGCACTGCGTTCCAGGCTCCTACACTCTCTGCGTGAAAAACTTCCCTCGCACATCTCCCTTAAACTTTCCCCCTCTAACCTTGAATGTGCGGCCCCTTGTAATTGAAACTTCAAGCCTGGGGAAAAAGCCTCTGACCATCCACCCTATCTATGCCTCTCGTAATTTTGTAGACCTCTATCAGGTTTCCTCTCAGCCTCCGTCTTTCCAGTGAATCCCACCATGGCAGATGGTAGAATTTGAATACAATACTAATCTGGAAATAAGAGTTCATTGATAATCATGAAACCATTGCTGATTGCCATGAAAAACCTATCTGGTTCTCTTTAGGGAAGGAAACTGCCATCCTTA